TGTTTCATAGCATAAACATATATATATATATATATATATATATATGATATTTAATCTAGTTTTATTTATTACCTATTTTTATATAGTTTCATAAAATACTTACACAATTATAATTTGTTATTGTATAATGTATAATTGATTTTCAAATATTAAAATTATTATAGGTATATGTGATTGATTTTCAATTATTAAAATTAATATATATATATACAGGCCGGGGACGAGGCGGCGCAACACTTATCCCTGCTCCGGCCCGTCCCCGAATTCTAGGGGGCAATCTCGGGCCTGATCCCGACCTGAAGCCCAAAAAATTTGGGGAGGGTTCCCGCGGGGCCGAGCTTTATGCCCATCCCTACTTATAGGGTATTAAATGGATCTCATAATTAGTTAAGGTGCGAGCAAACTGATTTGAACATTTCAATCACACAGAAGAAAAAAAAAAAAACACACTGTTTTATTTTTTTTTTTTCCTTCCAATGACCCAAGTTAAAAGCCACTATATTGAGCGTTATGTTGAGCTTCAATGCATACAATTTTTAGTCCTATAGATCATGTTTAATTTTGAAGCATTCACTACAGAATCTTGTACAACACAATCTTAGAGTAGTTAATATTGGAACCCTATCAATTAAAAAGAAAATCAATCGGCTAAAATTACAATTTATACATATACAAGTACTCTAACTTCTCCCCCAGATGCAAGGTTTTAAAACTCGGCCGAGGTGAGACTCGGCAAAGTGGCTAAGTCCTAGTTGACCAATGAATCAGTTTGACCGACAAGTCAAATCGGTAATGTTAGCATGTCCAAAAGTTTAAAATCTAACAAAATACCCTTACAATTACATATAAATCCCTATAAGTTTGAAATCCTACAAAAACACTCCAAATACTACCGTCAGCGTCAACAATCTAGGCCAAATAGGGCCTTGTCTTCGACGATGAAAACACTCTCCAATCACCATGAAAACACTCTCCTAAGCCTCCAAGCCAAAACCCATCTCAAACCTCCCCATTCATCGCCAATCGCATGAAATAGCCCGTTGTTTTGGCCGACCCATCTTTGCTTTTTCCAGTCAATTCACCATAGAAATCACCCCTTATCACCTTGGACTCACCGCCCTCCCTCTCCAAAACCCCCAATATAATTGTCACTGTATGTTCGTCAATCGTCATCCATAATTCTAGGGTTTAGGGTGAATAATTGAAAGTGATAGCCGACCTAGTGAAGGCCTCGAGTCTCGATTCGATCGGTTAAACTAGTCGGGCCGGGCCGGGCCGAGTTTTAAAACCATGGTGTTGAGGTCCATATATAAGTGAACTAATTTCTATTTTGTTGTATTTCATCATAGAAAAAAAAAAGTAAATTTTTAAGTTTCGAGTCTTTAAATAGAGGTATTTGATGAAAAAGAATCAGGTAAAATCTAAAAGGAAAACTGTCCAAACTAAACTTAGATTATTACAAACAATATATATTTAGTTTAATCCGAATTTTACAAAAATATAACAAATGATTTCAAATGAAATGCACTGTTTTGTTGAAATATAATAATTGCGTGTTCATGGGGCTCAAGGTTGCGATAAAGCATGGACGAGACCTTCATCACTGTCCTGGTTCAATGTGTAAGCATGGAACTCTGAGAAAATTTTATGAGAAATATATTTGATTATTTTATTAAGGGGGTTATTATTGGGCAGATCAATGGTGGGTTATTGTTGTATGCCAGGTTATTTGTATATTCATTCAATGAAATCTCCAGCTGTAGTGAGCTATATTGAAGTACAGAAAGGTTGACAAAATTAATTGTTTTTAATCTGTCAATGAGTTGGAGCTTGGAGAGTTTCAAAATCTGCTCTCTAGTTGCCATCATAAACCATTTGATAATTTAGATCTTACAGGTTTTAGGCCAATTGGGATCATAAATGGTATCCAATAGCTTGGCCGTTTATCTTAAGGTAAAGAACACTTGCGTGAAGCCTAAAAGCAAATCCGTATAAGTCAAATATCCAAAAAGTTCGACTTCTACTCAATTGAACTTAGGATTTGATTGTTGACAACGTGAGCAGGCTTGCAATCTGATGGGATGTAGTATGAAGTGATTCGATAGTTGGTATCAGAACGAACTTGAGACTCAATCGGGTGAGATACAAGGTTTTGAAACCCGGCCCGAGATGCTGGGCGGACCCAACCCCCGAGGAAATGTTTATATATTCACATTCATAAAAAACTTGTTATTAATATATATATATGTCACACTTATATTATATTAAAAGTTTAAAATTCTCTTCACTCTTTTTTACGTGTATATGTTTTTTTATGATTTTATCTTTAAAATTCTTTATTTTCTCATTCTCTCTTTCACTTTCTTTATGTTATTCATTCTAAAAAATTTTGAAGACTAAAATTATTGAAGCTTTCACTCATTAAGGTATCACAATTAGCTTCATTTTCTGTTTTCTCAGTTTTAAGTATGTGTATTGCTCATTTTATTTTAGTTTATTTTAATATTGAACCATGCTTATTTTTTGGAGGATTTTTATTTTAATTTAATGGAAAAATGCATAAATCTTGTGAGTTTGTTTTGTGTTTTGTATTTAAGAATGTTCCCGCTTTCCCAAATTAAACCTTAACTATATTTTACTGAACGTTATTCTTCACCCATCACTTTCCTACATTTCAAACGTCACCGTTTAACTGCTCAAAATTATTAAAGAAATTTGCGTTGTTAACTATGTTTATACTAATAAAATTTTCCTTTTTTTATTAATTCATATTAAAAGTCAAGACAACATTGACTTAATTTAATTTTTAATTGATTTTAGCTTAGGCTATGCTTGATCAAAGTCATGAAAATTTATATTATAATCTTTCAAAACAAAACAAAAAAAATTAAAAGACCAAAAAATAGGAGAAATAAGAAATTTGTGTAAAACATTTTTTGTGGATTGTAATTGTTGTAAATTCTTTTAATTATATTGGATTTAAGTAGATCATTAAATTCTCGTGGTCTTTTGCTCTCTTTAATTGAAGAGGTTTTTCCACGTAAAAATTTTCTTGTGTTTTCTCGTGAATTGAATGTTATTTTCAACATAATTTGCTCAAGGTTTTGCTTCTCATAGATTTATTCAAGTAGTAAAGTATTGTGTTGCTGCATTATTTTCTTTCAGATTATTGATATTATATTATTTCTTTTGCTTAAGGTTTGGTGATTTTTTTTTAAATTTTCACTAGTTATTTGAACAGCAATGGCAGAGCCACGGAGGCTCCCCCTCGACAAAAATCTTGGGTCCGCCATTGCCGAGGTGAGACCCGACAAAGTGGCTGGGTCTCAGGTTGACCAATTGAATCAGTTTGGCTGACAAGTCAAACCGGTAACGTTTGCGTGTCCAAATATTTGAAATCCAACAAAAACACCCTTGCAAATTACATGTAAGTCTCTATAAGTCTGAAATCCTACAAAAACACTCTAAACATCACCTCGTATTTCTTATTGTTTAGCTATTTGAAATCCAATACTAATGATTAAATAGCTTGCATGAAACCCAAAAGTAAATCCTGCCAAGTACTTGAACCTAAAGTGGACAACAATATAGGGCATGTTTGGCTTATTATTTCTGCCCATATTCTCAATCCTATTCTTCAAATAATGTTTGGCATATTATTCCAAAAATATTACCCTATATTTTAATTACTTTTAGACCCTATAAGGTTATAAATTTCATTAAATAACCCCTGAAAAAAAAAGTTTAAAAATTAGCAAAAACACCCCCACGATCCAAACTTGCCAGATTCCGGCAACTACCGTCGGTGGTGGCCAGAATCTGTACAACGGCGTACCTGCCAACTAGAAATGCCCAAACGTTCACCGATCTGGCCTTTTCCGGCCAGATCTGGCAGTCAACGACGGCCATATCTTTGGTCGTCGCTAACGGCCAAAGATGGCCATCGTTTTGGCCTTTTCCGGCCGTCGCAGCCACAACAGGCCGTAGATCTTGTCTTTTCCAGCCAGATCCGTGGTGGATCTAGCCGGAAAAGGCCATAACTACGCGTTACGACGCAGATCCGACCGATCTATGTCGTAACGCGATTTTCAGGCCAGATTCCGGCGGTGGTGGCCGGAATCTGGCACTGCAGGTGGTGGGGGTGTTTTTGTCATTTTATATATTATGGTATTTAATTAAATTAGCAAACTTAGGAGCTTTTTCATACATTTTTAAATTTTACCTCGTAATACTCCCCTATCCAACTACCCAATATTATTCCCAAAATCCTATCCAAAATAATAAACCAAACGCACCCATAGCTATAACTCACATATTTGACTATCATCTAAATCTCACAAAAATTTTCAAAATTTATATATAAAATTACCTTTCATCCCATAAAACATTTTTATTATTATTTGGCCCTCCCAATTACAATTTCTTGGTTTTGCCACCCATCCTAAAAAGAAAGTTGGCAATACCCTATGGTAGATTCCATCAAAATTGAGAGTAAACCATTTGCTTTGTGGTCGGATAACAAGACTTTATATTACTCAGAAGTCTTTTGTTCGACTCCCACCAAGTGGCTACCTACCACATATGTAACTTGCCTATCCATGGGACTTGTAGGGTATTAAATGAACCCCAAGACTAATTAAAATGCATGCAAACTAACGTGAACATTCCAATCACACAAAAAAAAAAAAAAACAAAAAAAAATTTAGATATTTGTTTTCCTTCCAAGACCCAAGTTAAAAGCCACTATATGAGCGTTGTTGAGCTTCAATGCATACAATTTTAGTCCTATAGATCATGTTTAATTTTGAAGCATCACTACAGAATCTTGTACAACACAATCTTAGAGTAGTTAATATTGGAACCCTATCAATTAAAAAGAAAATCAATCGGCTAAAATCAATTTATACATATACAAGTACTCTAACTTCTCCCTGAATCTTTTTTTTTTTTTTTTTCTTTCTTCTTTTTTTTTTTTTTTTTTTTCTTTTTTTTGGGGTGCAAAATTCTAACATTGCACCGAAATCCCCCTCTTCCCTTCATGAACACCATGAATTTCTTCAGAATTGTTTTGGATATGCCGATGAAAAAAAAATTATCTCTATTTTAACGCCCCATAATGTGATTATTAAAGCTGCCTGATTCATTTCTTTCCAGTTGATTTCCATGCTTTTGGCCTCCTCCCTCTGATTTTATTTTCTGTATTCTTCTTACTGCCTCTGTCATGTCTAAGCGCTTCTCGGGATCGCTTTCGGTGCAAGCTGAGCCAATGTGGAGAAGTTGTTCCATTTCATTAAGTGAATTAGTTGAACTTGCAATCTCTGGATCAAGCAATTCTGTTAACCTCCCTTCAGACGTCGCGGACGCCGCCCATTGTACCACATCTGTCCCTCCTTTACCATTGCTGAGATACTGAGATGGGAATTTCCCTGTCAGGATCTCAAGAATGACAACTCCTAGACAGTATACATCACATTTTGGTGACACTTTCCCTGCTGACACAACTTCCGGGGCCTTGTATGCGAACATCGCTTGTCCAAGATTTGCAGTATTAATCAAGGGGCTGAATCCATATTCTGAAACCAATGGTTCATTGTTAGGGCCTAGAAGGATGTTGCTTGATTTGAGATTTCCATGAGGCAAGTCGAGAGAAGATAGTTGAGCATGTATATAGCCCATCCCTCTTGCAATTCCTTGCACGATATTTAATCGAGCAGGCCAGTTGAGTTCATCATGTGACGGTCCACGATCACCTACAGAAATTTGTCAACGTTTTTCAGTATATTGCTCATATTGGACTTTTCACAAACAGTTTTGTTTTGAACCAAGCAAAGGTGTTTGATGTATTTTTTCTGCTTTTGATAACACTGAAATAAGAACATTTTGAATAAAGAATACATAAAAGGGAATGAAAAGAGCAAAGTTTAATAGAAGATTAGTTTCCTTACCATGCAACAGATAAAGCAAATTGCCTTTTGGAATGAATTCATACACCAAAAGTTTCTCGTCTTTCCTGTAAAGGTAAGCCAAAGGTGTCAAGACATTATAGTGTTTTAACATTCCAAGCTTTTTAATCTCTGCTTCAAATCCTTCTTTTCCCATGGCATTCATTTCTCTCATCCTCTTCACTACCACACTAACCCCATTAGCGATCAGCGCCTTGTAAGACGACCCCAATCCTCCATTTCCGAGCACTTCTGCAGCTGCCTTCATCAAATCAGGCAAACCAAATACACCCTTTTCATCATTCACCATCACTAGCTCCCCTACGCCGCCAGTCTTCACTTGACCACCATGACTGTTGCTCCTCGAGTGACCACCCGCTTTTCGACTTGATCCTGGCTTTCTGCTCAGTTCTAAGTCCTTTCTAGTTGACACAGAAACCTGGACCTCAACTGCCTGAACACTCCCAGTGTCCTTTTCAAGCACATCAAATTCCTTTTCTTTCCTCCTCCATTTCAGTATAAACACAACTGCAATTGAAATAAACATCACACTTAATGTAATTGCTGCAGCAACAATCTTTTTCTTGTCTTCCTTTCCATCAGGAGGCTCAGGACTACTCTTCATTGCCGACACGATTGGCTTCGAATTCTCTGTCTCCGGTGGCGGCGGCGATGTCTTCTCATTACTAGATTTCTTTTTACAATCCACTCCCAATTTTTTCCCACAAAGTCCTGCATTTCCTGAAAAAGAACTCGCATTGAATCTTGCCAAACTATGCGGAACCTCCCCTTTCAATTTATTATTCGATAGATCAAGCTGCGTCAAAGATGGTAGCTCAAATGATGGAATAGTCCCATCAAATTGATTGTTCTCAAGATGTAACTCAGCAATATGAGACAATTGAAACAACGATCCAGGAATATGGCCTGTAAAGTTATTATCTGAAAGCCAAACTTTTCTCAATCCATCCATTTTATCAAAATAATCCCTTGATATCTCACCCGAAAACTGGTTCATCGACAAGTAAATCGCCCGCAAATTACTTAAACGATCAAATGCCGGTAACTCACCAGAGAAGGAATTGTTAACAAGACTAATAGTACGAAGATCAGGAAGCTCAACCAAGGCATCAATATCAATCTTGCCTCCCAATCCCAAATTATTAATCTGAATACCCGTGACACTGCCCTCAAAACAAGCTACGCCCTTCCATTGCTCTCCTGGCCCATTACACGGCGGGTTGTCTTGCCGCCAGGATTTAAGTCCATGTGCGTTTGTGAAGGAATCCTTGAGCCTCAACAACGCGTCGGATTCCGGCTTCGAAAACGCAACTCTAAACGATGTGATCATGAAGATTAATGAAAAGAGAAGAAAGATTGATGGCCGGAGAAGCCAGTGCAGTAATGCCACGGCCATTTCCCAGCCGGATTCTTGAGGCCTAAAGGGCAGTTTTTAGACAATGTGTAGAACTATTTTCACTGCAAAAAAATTGTGGGTATTTGTTAATCACCTCCATTTTAGGTTATTCTTGAGATATGATCTGTTAAGCTCTTTTGTTCATGGCGGGTTCATTTTTGGTGAGAGCAACACAGCCTTAGAAATTTTAGAGAGAGAGTTGTAAAAGCTTTGAAATGGTCAGCTTCAGGAAACCGTTAAAACCGTTGCTATTTTTGACGGTTTTACCCTTGTAAGAGTTGGGGTGTGTGCGCTTTGGAGGAGGGATTTTGTGAAATGTTAAGGGTATTTCAAGTCAAGTGAGAATGTTGTCTAGTTAAAAGAGATTGGATCCGGTATTAATGTATTAATTAATTAATTAATCCAGCTAAAAAACTAATTAATTGATAAATCAAATATTAAATTACCAACAGATCGTATCAAACTCAAAATAAAACTTAAATAATAACGAAATAAAATAAAATAGTGATACATAACATATTAACAAAATAGTTTTAATTATAACTACAAAAAAAAAAAAATGATTTTATAAAACTTTTAAATAATTAAATTAAAATTTATTAATGAATACAGTAACGTCTTCAAATTAAGTTAAAATTTTAAGTTATTATTTTTGTGACACTTCTACGGTTAGCTATATACAATTTGGACAATGGCCCATTCGGCCCATGGGCCTAAGATACCACAAACTATATTAATCCATCATAATTTGGATTCATGGCGGTGTGGGAGCTTCTAAATTGAAATCGGGTCAAATTCAACCCAGAGAAAGACCAATCGGGTCAAAGTCAATTGAGTAAACTAGGAATTTTATCCTTAATAAACTAGGAATTAATCAATTAATTAAAATAAATGTTAACATCAAATTAAATATTTAATTATATCTTTATGAATAATATAACTAATATTATTAAATAAAAATTATAAAATTCTATGTAATAAATAAGACTAAGTCTTGTATTAATAGATGATTAGATTAGTAACAAATTAAAACTATAGACTAAAAAATTGTTGTTATTATGACAGTGATTTAAATATGCTATAATTTGAAATTACCACAAATTAAGAAGCAAAATGTAATATTAATTAATACTTAATTTAATTTTTAGTATAAACTGATTAATGGTTAATTTCGTGTTATTATTTAGGGGTGTTCAAAAGAACTGGTTGGAACCGGTACCGGCAGGTACCCTGAGTTTGGTTCCGATTCCTACCCAGAATCAGTCGTCAATGGGTAGGTTTCGGTTCCAAATTTTTGGAACCGTTACTGTGCGATTCTGGTTCCGGTTCTTATAGTTAAGAACCGGAACCGGAATCAGGAACCAGAAACCGAGACTAATATAAAATAAAATTAAAGATTAGAGGGGTTAATAAAAACATTTGTAGAAAAAGTAACGTGAATACATTTATATTTATATTTCATAATATTTAAAGTAAGTTGGTTTGACTTTTGAGAATCTACCTTTACAAAGTAATGGAGTTTGTAATTTTGAATTTATAATTTGTAATTTTATTTTTGTTAACAAGTGTCAGGTGGGGGGGTATTTGTAAGTTTTTAAGGGTTTTTTGGCCATTTTAAAAACTTTTGGGGGGTCATGTAATTTTACAAGGTACCCAGAATCGGAACCAGAACCGTTGTTGCAGGTTCTGGTTCTGGGCACCTAGGAACCGGAACCGTTGGTTTTGGTTCCGATTCCTTCAAAAAGTGCAAGGTACCCCGAACTGAACACCCCTATTATTATTGGTGGAAGTTGTATTCTATTCCACATCGTTAATTTGGTAAGTTGTTATAGTGTGTATATGTAGTTAAGCTCCCTTCTCCAGAGAGCTAGTTTTTGGGAGTGAGTTTCATCTAAGCCCGTTTATCTTCGAGCTAGCTTTTGGGCTTAAGTTTAACCTAAATCCGTTTATCAATTATGATTCAGTCCTCCTTGATTTTCTTAATTTTTTATTTTATTTTTGGAATCCTAATATTATATAAGATAAAACTTACTTATTTCAGCATCTAGAGATTAGTATTTTAATATAAATAATATGATTTATAATATGAAATATCAAATTCATGATATTGAACATCAAACTTATTAAAAACTACGAGCTAGTACATAGAATTGTCAAATTTTATATTATAAGATTCCAAACTTTGTAAATGTTATAATTTTGACCTTTGAATACCATTTTGTTCTACCTCTTAATTAATAGAACACCCAATATGACTTATAAATAAAATGAGTTGTCCTTTTGTTAAACTAAATTAGTAGTATATTGATTCACGATGATTATCGAATCAATATTTCAATAATTTTATAACATTAATCGATTAAACCTATGAGAGATTATTCGAACAATCAAGCTTGTAATTTATTCTCACAAGATTTAAGGTTTAAATCCCCTCATAGGTATTTACATGACCAAAAATTGATATTCTCCACTTACGAGAGACGGTAGAGTTTGACAAGGCTTCAATATACCCACTAGACTAAAGATTTCAAAGATCGTAAAATTTGTTAGGCAATTATTTTTCAGTTTGATGAAAACTCTAATTACATAAAGCAATAATAGTTAAACTATAGAAACAGCAGGTACCAACCATTACTATCCCTACTTGAATCACGGATGCTTAGATGAAGAATTGAATCTGAAACCGTACATTTATCCACATTATCCCTAATTCGTCCTATCTATTTGAACAACCAACAGATAGATAAAACCGTTAATGTTGCGAATTAGATAATCTAAATCCCATAAAAGTATAACTACAGAAAAAGGTAAAATGTGTGATTCATGCCAAATACTTAGACTTGTCATTTTTTATTTGATTCAAATGATGTGGTGGAGACTATAGCTTACTTGTTGAATACGTTATATTATATTTTATAAAACATTTTTTCAAAATCAAAGAAAACACGTTTAAGAAATCTATAAATAAATAGGTTTTCTTCTGACACCCCTGAGGTTTAGTGAGAGTACCGAAAGACCCACAAGTTTTAGAATGAAATATTTATACCCTCCCTATTAATTGATAAACACTTTGTAAAAAGTTAATTCGGACAAAGAATTTTGGTACAATGATTAATATACTCTTTTTTTTATTATTGTTGTGTCATATATTTTAGTAATTTACTTTAATAATAGTTATTCTTTCAGAAACGTCATTCAAATATAAGGGTGTGAGTGTTCTATTATGAAATCTACGAGTCTTATTGTCATCTCACTAAACCTCAGGGGTGTCTACAAAATTCATATTCATTGTGCCTTTCTGCTAAGTGCTAACTATATCAAGGAAAAAGACACCCACGTTTTAGAAATTGCTGTTTAATTTGATCGGTCCAAAAGAAAAAAAATAAAATTCTCAGTCAAATTAAACGGTGGGTTCATTAAGATCTAGATATAAATTTCTGGGTTTGTCGTTGTTTTCATTAAGAATTATAATTTAAATAAAAAAAAACGATTATAGTAATATAAGTCAATATCATATGCTTTAATATAACCTATAGTATTTTATATAATTATTTTAGGTAACTTTTATATATGTATATATGAATTATTTATCTAATCCAAAATCAGAAAACACGTTTTGAAATTTCTTTACAACTATACTTATAGTATTATAAAATTATTAGGAGGGAGATTTGAAAATTGCCCTCTCCCTCTTTCTTCCGTAATATTAAAACTAATTATTAAAAATTGTATTTATTTCACGTTTCGTAGATTGTTGTATATATATGTAATTGGAGTATTAGACTCCATCTAATTTTGAACTAACTTTTGAGAATGGCTTCTACCAGGCCCATTATTATGATATCAATTGTGCCTTAGCGATAGCTTCGTAATTATTTTGAATTCGGGATTGTTCTTTTTCATTTGATTGTAATCAAAGAAGGAATAGATAGATTAATTAAAACGATAAAATCTCTTTGATACAAAACACTTTTTTTTGTTAAACTTTACGAAACTGTGTATATACACTGGCAACCTAACTCTAATCAAGTAAATATTGTTTATTTTAGACTAAGCTCACACGTGTTTGATACCATAATTGTGATATACCTATTAATTGTATGTGATACTCGTGATTCACTAAGTTCCACTAGAGAATTTTTATTAATAAAATTTTGCATGATTTAATTATATAAATATTGTCTGCTTGGGCCTCGATTTGCACGAACCTTGATGGTTGATTGTAAACTTACACTTACAAATTAATCTCACAATTTTTCTCTTACAACTTCAACGTGATAACTTGTAATTGATTAATTTGTGATTTTTTACTTATGCGATATTGCCCAATAATGGGTCTTACTTGTTCAATTACGAACTATTATATCGAAATTATAAGGGCATCTCCAACCCACGCCAAAATAGCGCAAAAAACACCAAATTGGCGTGGGTTGGTACTCCAACCCACGCTAAACACTACACCATTTTGGCGCAGCACTGTAGCAAAAATAAAATTTTAGTTTTTTTGTTTTTAATTTTATTAAGTTAATTTGAGTATTAAATTTTACACCAAAAATCACACCAAATTTGAGTATTTGTATTTAATTTAATTTGATTATTATTTATAATAATAAATTTATAATAATGATATAATTTAAAAAATGATGAGAATGTCCGATTTCGAAATTTTCTTGCTCGACATAAACAAATCAAGGATACAGAGGCTCACCATGCTCTTNTGTTTGATATCATAATTGTGATATACCTATTAACTAAGTTCCACTAGAGAATTTTTATTAATAAAATTTTGCATAATTTAATTATGTAAATATTGTCCGCTTGGGCCTCGATTTGCATGAACCTTGATGGCTGATTGTAAACCAATACTTACAAATCAATATCACAAATTTTCTCTCACAACTCTAACGTGATAATTATAATTGGTCAATTTACAATTTGTCACTTCTGTAGCTCTGCCCAAGAATGAGTTCTGTTCGTCTAATTATGAACTGTCACATCGAGATTGTAAGAGAAAATTGATAAGATTAAATTGTGAGTCAACTTTATTAAATGATGAACATAATTTTTAAAATTTGGCAAAGTTTTTTATTAATTAAAAATAATTTTTTAATATTATTCTTACGTTCTCAACCCTCGTCACACGGATGAGTCATGCAGCACTAATTTTCCCTCCATTTTCGTGTGGTAATTAGTTACCATACTTCCCACGTGAGAAACATGGAACGTGAAATCCCGAGATATCCGGTACAGTGTTAGAAAGCGAACAAAGTAGAGCACGTGAGTTGCATGCACCGAAGCACATGTCTATCTGCCAACAAACAGCATGATCCAATAGGAGACGTCAGACGAACCTTTTTTTTTTTTTTAATTGCGAAATGACCTAACTGCCTCCAATGTTATTGCGAGATGACCGAACTGCCACCCCGATTAAGAATAAGAGTTGTTTAACACGTGCTTTTTTTAATTTATTTATTTAATATTTTGTTACAAAAGTCAAGCGAATCTTCACAACGAAGGTGAGGTGACTAAAGAAACGTTTATTGCTTTTAACGCTTTAGTACTCACGTGGGCCCTACGTGCTGTCGGCACAGGAAGACGAAAAGTTTAGACTCTACACCTTACCTAACATTTAACGGAGTAGCCCGCCTAACTCCGTCAGTATATAACGAACCACCCATATTCTTCTATTGACTAATACACCCCCCTTGAATAATTAGTGTCCATAATTGAGATTCTCCTTTAAAGAATTTGCATCTTCTTTTAATGGAATCAGAATCATCTCTTGATGGACTCTTTTATCTAAACAAATGTAAATTTATAATTAATAATTAATACCAAAATACGATAAGGAAATATTCAAAAATAATATGAGCAATTTTTATTATAGTTAACGAAAAGTTTATTATTTAAAATTTAGGATATATATTTAAAATGATAAAAATGTTGTAAATTGTGATCTCGTTTTTTGTCAATAGGGCGCATGCGATTTGAATAGTTATATTAAACGTACAAATACTTCGAAGGTTAATTGAACTCAATCCTATAATGATTATAGTTATATTTTCATATTGCACATAATATTTATTTAATATGATTCCCTTTTAAAAATTTAAACATTTAAAGCTTAACTTTACGTTCATCTTCGCACATGATTTGAATGTTTTTCTAATTTCATATATGCAAAACTTTTTTCTTACATAATTTATATAACGTCATAAAACTCTTATCTCGAAATTTTCATCTCAAAAGATATCTTACGTATATATATTGCATATGTTGTAAATTGATGGTCTGATATAATAACCAACATAATAATACTGCATATATCACTTAAAACGTTATCAAATATAATCCATCCATAATAACATGTTTATTAATAACGTTTTTCTATAAATTATCGTTCTTACAATTTAAACATTATCTAGCCTAGAATGCAATTTATAGTTAAAATTCTATGTAGGTATCTTAAATTAAATTTATATATATATAAAACAAAGGTTAATGTCCAGTCGCAAACTTACAAAAAATTAAAAACTAACTATCAGATACCACCTTTGTTTTACATATTAAATGAAGTCAGTTTACACACAACTTAACTAATCCTTAAAAAAGCTATCCCACCACAGTGACCTTTGCATTTATCGAGGAATTATTCGCCCTTACTATTGGGCGACCCATCGATGAGTCACATTAATTTTTTTATTATAATTATTGATTAGTTTTAAAGGATTCAAATCTTAAATGGTCCAAAGCATGTCAATTAGGTAGTACCCACTTGAAAAAATGCTTTATCGAAGGACTAGTCCAAGGATGACTAGTCAAACTTTGCCAAAGTATAGACTTGGTCCGTGAATAAACACGAGAGGGGTGTTTACGTAAATACACATAAACCAAAACGCCACAAGGAACATGGCGTCCACCTCCACCATGAGAGAGAGAGAGCTTAAACGAGTAATTTATTTGGACCTTGTCTCACTACTCCCCACTTTTTCTTTAATGCAAGAAAAACGTGCATGAAATTATCGTATTAAAATTCAATTATTTATAGATTCGAAGAACATGCATCGAAACCCCCCTCTTTAATTTCCTTTATATTCCATAGCCATTCATTAATCAAAGAAGCTTGAAGTTTTGGTTATACAAATATAGATATATATCTGTATTCTGTGTTCATGTATTGAAAGTTTTTGTTTCTTTTCAATCTGAGAGAGATAATTAATATGATAAGCATGGCAAGTTCCGGCCAGAAATCGTCGAATTTTACTCAGACTTGCAATCTGTTGAGCCAGTACTTGAAAGAGAAGGGGAACTTTGGAGATTTCAGCCGCGGAATCGCTTCAAAACCTGAAGGTAAGAAAGGTATAGTTTGAGTAATGATGATTAGATTGATTTTTTGGGGGGTTTTTTATTTGAGTGAACGGTATGTTTGATTAGTTTTTCTTGCTATTTGTTTATGTTTTCAGGGGTTGAATTTGAAACCTCCAGGCCTCAGTCTGCAACTACCATGAACTTGTTGCCGAACCTGGAAAATGTTGGAGCTTCATCTTCTTCAAGTGTCAAAGCTGCCGATTTCTTTAACAATAAGGCTGAAGCAACCGTGGAGAGTGGAGCTGGCTCTCAAATGACAATATTTTACGCTGGAAAAGTTCATGTGTTTAACGGTTTCTCAGCCGAGAAGGCCAAGGAAATCATGGCCTTAGCCACCAAATCCGGAAGCTCCGTTAACACTACTTCCAGTAGAGCTTTTACGCCTGATTTGAACATCGCTACCAGTGCTTCTGAAACCAACAATATCGCCTCGCAGGACCGCCTGTTTCAGCACCTTAAACCTCCTCAAGCGCCCATCACTTCCGATTTCCCGATAAAAAGAAGGGCGTCTCTCCACAGATTCTTCGAAAAAAGAAAGGACAGGTAAATTGATGTTCATATTTATATTTTCCCTTTCAATCTTCATGTTAAAATCCAATATTGATTAGTCGAATTAATCATAATTTTGCGTGGTTTTTTTGCTTTCCAGGGTGGTGGCGAGAGCACCATATCAAATAAATGGCGCCTCTGTGGCTCCGGCTAAACCAGAAGAAAGCAGGGAGAAGCCATGGCTGCTCGAACTTGAAGCTCAATCGTCCAAACAGCTTGACCTCAACTTATAGAATATTATTAGTAAAATTAATTAATTAATTAAAATTAATCCTAACTATTCATGTTAAGTCTTTTGTATTATAGAGTTACTTAATTAATGTTTTGTAATTAATTTTTTTTATGATCAATATTTATTCATCGATATGATGACTATGAACCAACTTATATATATATTTATATCTAATTATCATTGTGCTTAACCCATTGAATATTAAAGGATTTTAATTGTATTCTTTGCCAACTAAAGTTCAATATATTATTATTAGTTTTCTTTGCCAGCTAAAGTTTACTATTTGTTTGTTATGATCTCAGTGGTGTAATTGCAATAAAATAAACTAATAGGGACTGAAATAATAAAGAGGGCTAAAATGAGAGGTTTTTATTAACTCTCTCTCAATTAAGTTTGTGTACAAAATGAATGAAATGGGCACATTTATAGCATTTTCTCACTGACCCACCTCCCATAAAGACCAATTATCCATTAACAAATCATAGTCCATGCATGTGTCTTCAAGTGAACTTGCATAGGCCATGTGTCAATTGTTGAAAGTTCACCACTTACAACACACCCCCCTCCTCTTGGATATCTACCCTTCCACTTACAACAGTCCCCCTTGGATATCCACCATTTACTAATAATTGCATTTAACCTTACTTTAAAGAAAAAAAAAAAGCCCTAGTAAGACCAAAAAAACATAAGTAAAGAAATACAATTTTATAATATAATTGTAAAGTGGTGTTGAAAGTACTTCATACTACCTCATTAAAAACCTTGCCAGGAAAACTTAGTGGGACAAAACCTGGTCAAGGGAAAAAAAGTGTTATACACATATATTCAATACAATAATCCCTTCAAACTCTTCCTGATCAACGCTCCCCTTCATAATGGAAAAATTAACTTAATTACTTATTTGGCCTGNTTTTTTTTTTTCTTTCGGATATAATTTTGTTTTTGTTCAACTTATTCAGGGATACATCAATGGCTCCCCTCCCTAGTTTTAAATTCAGAAGAAAAAGAAAGTCTCCACATGTTATTTTATACATTTATAATAATAAATAATATCGAGTTCAATCAATCAAGTAGGATTAGGTTTCCACGGATAAGTTTTTTTAAGCAACGTTAACGTTTTTCACCTAAAACTCATCTGCTTGAGATAATAGGATCTGAAGTCCGAACCCAATAAAATAAACTCCGACTTCATTCACTAGCTGTGTGAAATGTGATGAGTTTATAATGTTATCGAACTAATATAGTAGACAATCCGTATTAGTTTTTACATCAAGGGTTCCTCAATGGCTCCCTAGTTTAAAGTTCAGAAGAACAAGAAAAATTTCCACATATTATTTTATACGTTTATAATGATAAATAATCTCGAGTTCAATCAAGTAAGACTAGGTCAGTTTTTTAAAGTTACGTAAGCGTTTTTTTATCCAAAACCCATTTATTTAAGGTCGGTCATCCACGTGTACAAGGTTTGAACTTTTTGCCTTACGTATTTGGTAAAAGATATTAGATAATCGATTTTGAAGTAGTAGAGAACAGATTGAGAAAACTTATCGTCGATATTAAGAAACCAAATAGGAAATCAGTTGAAATGCCAACATCATATATATAGTTTCAACTCTTTCATTTCATGCCTAATGGGGGTCTTAATCATCTCCGTAAAGAATGGTAAAGGGAGGCCCTATGATGTTTACAAAGTGAAGCAACAACTAGAGATTGGAGGAGCCATGAAGTAGAGTTTTCAAACTATATATTAAAGAATAAAATCAAACTATATAGGGATACATGTAGAACAAGTGGTCAATTATCTCCCCCTTTAAGTCTCTTACCTTTGAACGAATTAGCAACAAGTGGCTTTCTATTGCTGAATGTTCATTGGTATGGCTGTATTCGATAGGATAAGGTTTTTCTTCTGCTCTCTAAATATTATATACATGGAATAGACGTATCACATCATTTATATGTTCATCTGATAATAGGATCCGAACTTTATAAATTCAACTCAGACTCCATTCATAACTTGCGCGAAATGTGAAGACTTTATAATGTTATTGAACTAATAAGGTAGACATTCCATGTTAGTTTTTACATGATTCATTTTTTGGGTTTTTTTTTTTTTTTTATTTCATTTGGAGAGAGGTCACATAATTTAGTTGTGAAATTAACAACAACAACAACAACAACAACAAAAAAAAATCCAATTGATTACATTTGGAGAATGCAATAGATCAATTTCAAGTATACCATTACATTGCAATGGCCCAATGTGGTGGATATATAGAACAAATTTGGGTTCTGATTTGTTGGGCTACCTAGCTTCACCAATGGGCCTATTGAATTATGAATGGATGTTGTATTGATGCCCAATGTAAATTTGGGTGTTGTTGGTCATATAACAACCTATATCGGTTCAATAATATTATCAAATCAACAAATAAATTTTACATAAACAGTTCAAACTAATCTAATAATATAATAATTATGAACTATATTAACCATTCAACATACAATTCTTCTCAAAGGTTGGTCATAAACATGTACGAGGTTTGCCTCTTTGTCCTACGTATCGATTTTGAAGTATTAGAGGATAGATTAAGAAAGCTTATCGTCGATATTAAGAAACCAAATAGGAAATCAGTTGAAATACCAACATCATATATATAGTTTCAACTCTCTCATTTCATGCCCAAACGGGGGTCTTAATCATCATAAAAAGACTGGTAGAGGGAGGCCCTATGATGTTTACAAAGTGAAGCAACAACTAGAGATTGGAGGGGTCCATGAAGTATAGTTTTCAAACTATATACTAAAAGAATAAAATCAAACTATATAGGGGTACATGCAGAAAAAGGGGTCAATTATCTCCTTCTCAAGTCTCTTACCTTTGAATTAGCAACAAGTAGCTTTCTATTGCCAAATGTTCATTGGTATGGTTGTATTCGATAGGATAATGTTTTTATTCTGCTACCTAAACAGTATATAAATGGAGCAGACGTATCACATCATTTATATATTCATCTGATAATATAATCAAAATTTTATTAGAAGAATTTATAAAATGAATGATTTGATATTTTGGTAATTACCCAATACTTTTTTCTTAGCACAAGTACTAAATAAAGTAAAATCAAGGTATCAAATTACTAGTATGTCCGTATTCTATAAATAGATCTAAAGATAATAAACGACATACAACGCTAATCACCTAAGATATTTTCGTATTTTGCAAAAGCACTAAAAGAACTAAAAGCTAACATATCATGTCACTAACATGTTTTTTCGGTCAAGATTTTGTTAGAGAGATTTACAAATGATGGCCCGATTACCTAAAATTTTCTCTTTAGCATAAGAACTAGAAAAAAAAAAAAAAAAAGATATATCTATCGTGTTGTTAGTATATCCATTCAATGATTTAAAAAAAAAAAAAAACACATAACTTTTTCTTATCGAAATTTTATTAAACAGATGTATGGATGAGAAATGATCAGATCGAACTCGACCTAGAATTTTCTCTTTGGTAAGTATGTATTAATTGAGTTTGATATAGAATATTCATTATAGATCTATTTTATATGTTACTTTGGTAAGTATTATTTTCTATTTATATAAATGCTCTTGTTGCTCCTCTCCTTTTTTAAAGAGTTTAGTTAATTAGTTTATAAACCCTAAATTAACAAGATTTGATACTTAATTGTTAGGTTTATAATACATAATCTTATCAAATTGGTTACAAAATATTAATTATAAAACAATACCCAAAAAAAAAAAATAATAATAACCAACGCGTTAATTATAAATTAAAAATTAATTAATAAAATTGTAAAAATAATATTTTACCAAAATTTTGATAAATAATAATATATTTAATTAAAAAAAATTAAATGTGAAAATTTATTTTTACACTTTACTTGAGTTGTTGTACCTTTAAAAAGTCACAGCCCAATCATTCACTTTTATCACAAACTATATCATTACGTGTCGTTCATTTATTGGAGATCAATTGGAGGTCATGGAAATAAAAATCACAGCTGTTTACGTTATCACTCCGAACCTGAACAAAAATCCTTATATAAATACTTTCCTTGCGTCCACTCGTTTCTTCTGTGTCTTTCTCACACTCGGTTCCTTTTTTTTCTTTTTTTCTTTTTTTCCTTCATTTTCTCGAGAAACCCTAACGAAATTTTCTCGGGAACCAAACAGAAGGCACACCGTCCGATTCTCTTGAAAAATGCAGCACCAGAGGCTGAAGCAGCAACAGCAGCAACAACAACAAGCTTTAATGCAACAAGCCATTCTTCAACAACAATCTCTCTACCATCCCGGCCTCTTAGCCGCTCCTCAGGTTCTATTTCTTATCCCTTCAATTTCTCGTCCCTAGTCTCTTTATCATTGCGTGCGAATCATTGATGCTTTGATTTCGATTGTGATTTCGATTTGTTTGAATTAGTTAGGGTTAGCTAAGAAATGGATCGTTGTGGTTTTGGTTTTGATTTGTTTGAGCTTGCTATGGTTTGATGGAAATTTTTTGATTTTTCTTTGGATGGTTGATGTGAAAATTTGAGGGAATGAGGGGAAAGTGAAATGCTTGAATGTTTTTGAAAATCTGAGCTTTAGTTGGCATTTTTTTTTATTGTAATTTTGTGAATGCCTTTTTAGTTGTTGGAGTTTGTTATGGTTGTTGTTGTTCTGGTTGGGTGTGTTTGGGCATTGCTTGGTTGGTATCTTTGTTTGTAGAAGAATTTGTAATGAAATCTTGGGTTATATTTGCTAGTGAGTGTTTCAATTTTTTTGGTGACATGATTATGATGAGGGTGACGGAAAGTGATGCAAATTTGCAACTTTCTAATATGTTGTTATGTGGTTTCTTACTTTACTGAAGGATGAATTTTTGAAACCTCCCTGCGTCCCACTAAAACAAAATGGAGAAAGATATATATATATATATTTTAAAAATCTTTCTAACGTTCTGTGTTCCTTCCATTTCTGACTTCGGCTTTTGCAGTTTGATCACCTGACAGATAGTATTGATGATAGATATGAGTTCACTAGGTTATCATATAACATTTTCATTTATGACGATAGCTTTTTAATTTGATCACCTGACAAATAAGATTGAAAATGGAACTGAGTTCTTAAATTATCAAATAACATCCCTGGTAAGTGTTACTGTAATATTTTCCAGAGTATGGTTTCTGACTATGTTGGTCACATTTCGTGGGTCAACAAAATTGGTTAATTAGGTTTAGTATTTAAAGATATAAGCGAGCCTGTACTACTATGTTAAGCATCATACTGCTTGGGAAAAGGACCAACTGAATTTTTGTGAATAAATTTGTAAAAACTTTTCAAGTTAGGATGCTTAAAAAAAAAAANTGACGATAGCTTTTTAATTTGATCACCTGACAAATAAGATTGAAAATGGAACTGAGTTCTTAAATGATCAAATAACATCCCTGGTAAGTGTTACTGTAATATTTTCCAGAGTATGGTTTCTGACTATGTTGGTCACATTTCGTGGGTCAACAAAATTGGTTAATTAGGTTTAGTATTTAAAGATATAAGCGAGCCTGTACTACTATGTTAAGCATCATACTGCTTGGGAAAAGGACCAACTGAATTTTTGTGAATAAATTTGTAAAAACTTTTCAAGTTAGGATGCTTAAAAAAAAAAACAAAAAAAATTCAAAGATGAGATGAGTGGTTAGGTTGAAATAGTACAAAGTAGCCAACCTGGTTAATGCTAGTACTCGTATAAAGTGCCTAGTATCCATCACATTTCCTCGAGAATCTATTCTGTTCCTATCTAGTTAAGCCCGAGTTTTCCTATACCTATATGGAAGTATTAGCTTCTTCTTTGTATTTGCTAGGTTGAGTTATGAATACCCTCTGAAAGTTGTTCTCTTTTTAGTTAAATTACTTTAGCAATGGAAGATTAAGATGGGATTTTCTTTTTGTCCTTTTTCTTTCTTTTATTTTCTTTTTCTTTATTTTTTTTTCTTTTTCACTTCTTGATTTTGCAGATTGAACCAATCCCAAGTGGAAATCTGCCTCCTGGTTTTGATCCAAGTACATGCCGCAGTGTGTGAGTCTTTGCCTAGACATATTTCTTTTAGTTTTGTTTCTTTTGTTTGGTTTTCTGTTTGTTGTTTTTTGTGTATGCAACTCTCACTCTTATCCCTCTCACCCATTAGTTAAGGCATTTTCATCGTTGCATGTTTTGAGTTTTAGAAATTGATACTATTTCTTGTTTGTGATGCTTAATTCTCTGATATTGAATTTTTCTGACAACTGAGGGAGTTACTTATAGCTTTATTTATTTTTTTGTTTCTTTTTTTAAAACTTCTAGTTCTTTTATTTTTGAGAAAATGCAGGTATGTTGGAAACATCCATACTCAGGTGACAGAACCTCTTCTCCAAGAGGTTTTTTCAAGTACTGGTCCTGTTGAAGGCTGCAAGCTTATTAGGAAGGAAAAGGTAAATTCTTCTGCTGTCTTCTGAGCTTTGATAACTTTTTCTGTTTGTACTTTGTACCTTATTGTATATGCTGCTATTTAAGTGTAGATTAACATTCATGGCTTGCATATGTTGCTGTTACCTACCCTCAACTTTACATATTATTACCATGTTTTGACATCTCTCGTCTTTGTTTATAGCAGTCGTCATATGGATTTATTCACTATTTCGATCGCAGATCTGCCGCTATGGCTATACTTTCTCTTAATGGGAGGCATCTGTAAGTAGACCTGACTAGTATTCTCTGTGATTTCAATTTAATATTTGCTGTTATGGATTCTCTGCAATACAGTTTATGAGAATTCACATTGTACTATGCATTTGCAGATTTGGGCAGCCAATCAAAGTTAATTGGGCATATGCCAGCGGGCAGAGAGAAGATACATCAGGTTGGTTTATGTTTGTATTTGTGATACTATCTTAAAGCAATTTACGTGCTGGAAATTATTATCTTGCGGCATAATGACGCAATGATCAATGATCTGCAGGTCATTTCAACATTTTTGTTGGAGATCTCAGCCCCGAGGTTACTGATGCCACATTGTATGCATGCTTTTCTGTTTATCCCAGTTGTTCGTAAGCTTCTGTCCCATCTCTTTATTTTATTTATATATCTGCGACAGTGTGCCTTTGTATCTATATTTATACATGTATTTATGCATCTTCCTTTATATCATCTGTAATTTACTACCAACCTAATTAGTGACTACTAAGCTTATCCTTACATTTCGGATGGTTTCAGAGATGCAAGAGTTATGTGGGATCAAAAGACTGGGCGCTCTAGAGGATTTGGGTTTGTTTCCTTCAGAAACCAGCAGGTATTACTATCACTTTTGTCCTGCTCCCTAACTGGTTTCTTTTTTCTATGAGCATGGTTTCTTATCATTATACTGATATTTTCTCTTTTCTGTAGGATGCCCAAAGTGCAATAAATGACCTAACTGGTAAGGATGAATGCATATTGGTTCATGTTTACTTCTTTCTCACCATTGCGGAAACTTTAGTTACCACACATCTACTTAAGCTGGTCTAGGGCTTTTGTAGTACATCCAAGTGTTCTTTGATGTGCAAATCAATGGCATTAAATTCTCTTTATAATAAGGAAATAATTTTTTGATATTCCCAAAACTGGGAGTTTCACTTCTAATAAGGCCATATCTGTAGGAGATGTATGACATTGTTCTTGTAATAACACAAAATTGTTATAGATTTCTTGGCTAGTTTTCACTTCTGTAGCTCTACAATCTAGATTATACTGATATATGGAAATGTATAATGGTCTGGCTCACTAATCTTATATGTTGCAAATGTTTCAGTTAAATATATTTCTTACATCAGTTATGGCTCTCTTGGATATATAATATTCACATTTCATTTTGTTACACTAATGTTTAACCTTTATTATTATTTTTTTTAAAGGTAAGTGGCTTGGCAGTAGACAGATACGATGCAACTGGGCGACAAAAGGTGCTGGTTCCAATGATGACAAGCAGAGCTCTGATGCTAAAAGTGTGGTGGAGTTAACAAATGGCTCTTCAGGTGTGTTAATTGTAGTGTCCATCACCTTATCTTTTTAGAAGCATTGATATCTTTGACCTTTAAACAAGGATACTTTCTTTTGGTTTATTCTTTTTTAGCTGCTTTATAATTGTTCATGTGTGTTTGGAGTAGAAACAGGGATAGAGACATTTGTTTTAAGCCTCCTAATTTTGCTACTTCATGCTCTTTGTATTTTCTTGGCTTATAGATGGATCTTCTAGCTTGACAATTAAACTAATATTTGTTACCTTGCACGTGCAGAAGACGGTAAAGAGACAACAAATAACGAGGCTCCTGAGAATAACCTACAATATACTACTGTTTATGTTGGAAATCTTGCTCCAGAGGCAAGAAACCATAATCTTTATCAACCAATTCTCCTCTACTTTATTTTGTGCATCAGACATACTCTCTCTCTCTCATAGACACTTACATATGTATGTGTGCTTATTGATCCAATTAATCATGCAACATCTAGCATGTCTAGATATAATTAAAAAATTAAAAAATGATGATTGATTTTTTTAAACAAACATCATTTTTATTTTCCTCTTTTTGATATATGCAGGTCACACAGCTTGATCTCCACCGCCATTTCCATGCTCTTGGTGCTGGAGTGATTGAAGAGGTCCGGGTCCAGCGAGATAAAGGTTTTGGTTTTGTCAGATACAGTACTCATGCCGAGGCAGCTCTGGCCATCCAGATGGGGAACACCCAGTCATATCTGTATGGGAAGCAGATAAAGGTGTGGATTTATGCTTCTTCATTTGTGATGCAAGATGTGACTTTTGAGTCGGATATGTTTTTTAAAAAAAAATGTATATGTTTTCTCTTCTTTACTATAAATGTGTAATTAACTATTAGCCTTTTTATTCTTTCTTTGTGGTGTAGTGTTCTTGGGGCAGCAAGCCTACACCACCTGGAACAAGTTCAAATCCACTTCCCCCACCTGCAGCTGCACCTTTACCAGGCCTTTCAGCGGCTGACCTTTTAGCTTATGAGCGACAACTAGCTATGAGCAAGATGGGTGGTGTCCATGCTGCCCTTATGCACCCTCAAGGACAGCATCCTCTCAAGCAGGCCGCAATGGGAGTGGGTTCTGCTGGAGCAAGCCAGGCAATATACGACGGTGGGTTCCAGAGTGTTGCTGCCGCCCAGCAACTCATGTACTATCAGTAATAATTATTAGAGTTTTTGTGGTAATAGCCTTATTTCCTGCATTTGCAGGTTTTATTTGAGTTTAAGAATCTTTAGGAAGCTTTGTATGTTTCTCCTTTTCTTTTTCTCTTTATCGGGTGGTGAGGTTGTTACCCGCTCGCTTATACCGTATGGCTTTGTCATTTGTATGGAGATATGTATGCTTCTGTTCTCTGCTTTGAGTGGTTATGAATATGATTGTTAGAGCAAAATTGGGTTTAGTACTGAGAGTAGTTTGTCTTACGGTTTGAGTATTTTGACAGTTGTAATGTGAGAATGTTATCAAGATCTATTGGGGTTATGTAGCTTTTGGGGTCTTTTAATGGACCCTTTGTTTTTTTATTACCACTTATTCAGTTTCCTTCTCTGATCTCTTGTTATTTGATAGTTTAATCGAAGAACACGAAAACTGCTCGAGTTCATTGAGTTTAACTGTTTAATCCTGTGGTTGGTGTGTTAGCTATTCCGGTTTACTTTCCTGATAAAATTGATAATTTTGATGATTAGATGCTAAGCCTAAAACAGGAATGGTTCGAATGGATATTCTACACAGGGTAGCGTTATCAACATAGATACAACAAAAAGAAATGATCTGGGATCTTTCTAAAGCCTCTGCTACAACTTCAGCCTCACTTAATTATTGATGCACTGCCGACACAGTTATCAGGTTATCAGAATGGTTCAGTCTGTTTCCAATCTTGCAATATACTGATCATAGAATTTCCCTGCTCGTTCAAGATCTCCAAGTTCAGTATAACAATCCGCAATTGCCCCATAAGCTTCAGTGTTTCCGGAGTCTTCTCCTTGCCGACGAGAGATTTCAAGAACCATAGAGTGGTACTTAATGGCTTCCCGGTACTTGCCCTGCCTTTGCAATGACGCTCCTAAATGAAGCAAAATCGAATCAGAAATACTTGAAAAATATAATACCCATCTGCATAACAAGTAAATTCCATTTGTACGTGCAAAAATGAGACCCGGAAAGTGTATTTATTGAAAGAAATGAATTGAGAGAAGACTAGAAACGAACCTAAACCTCTAGCAGCCTTCTTCTCCTCGATAGGATCCTTCAGATTCTCAGCAAGATCGGCGCTGCCTTAAACTCCTGCATACGCCTTCTCTGGATCTTGATTTCTCAAAAAATTCTTCCAGTTTTCAACCGAGAAATCAACTCTTGCTTTCTTGGATCAACAATACTTCACTTTCTGATATCCGCTACCAACAGGAGCTAACTCAAGTTGGGGGCATAAGATTCAATCTTAGCTTGCCTTCTTAGAGCTGTATTGATCTGGCGCAATTGGTCATTGAGTCGCTGCATTTCACCTCTCCTCTGCCGAGCAGTATCCTGTAAAACATGCACAAATATACGGTGAAAATGAGAGGATTTCAGTCCACACTTTCATAATTATATGTGACAACTTATCCAGACGGATGAGAAAGTATAAACTGTCATCAAAATAATAGAATACCGGACAAAATGAAGACTTTTTCCCCTTATATCCAATTCCAACTAAATTTTTTCACGGGAGAGGAAGGAAAAATTAAAATTGTGCATACAAACACTGATTTAAGTTCTATGCGAATTAAACACTTTGGAGGCAATGATTCTTGCTTTGGACATTAACCTGTTAATGGGTAGTGCATAAATGTCTGTTCTTCCACACTTCAAGGATAGAACTTGCAACTCAGTCATTAAATTAAGAAATATAATGCATGCATTAAATCAGGTAACTTTGGGGTGCAACGACAAATATCAACTAAGGCCAAGTGCAATGCTTTTGACTGCAAGTAAACAAACATTTGGAAGTAATTATAAGGACTTTGATATTTTACCTCCAACAGTACCCCTATGAGGCCACAAGTAGTGCAGAGGCATGTTAAAGAAGATTTTCAGCCTGACATGTTTCTGCTAGAGCTTTAAAAGGTGTAGTCAACATGAAGGCATTTGTGAGAAAAATGTCTTGCCGTTGATTTCAGTAGCCCTTTCCTTGCTGACAGAATAATTATATTAATCAATCAGAAAATGAAGTAAAATAATGTATAAGCACAATCACAGTCAAACACAAACCTCTGATCCTCCTATTAGCCTGCAGATGTGGCTCGAATTCAATACAATAAACATAGAACTTCACAAAGGCAGGGAGCGGGAACTAATTATAATAGATTTGTGCTTTGATAAAACTGACAGAGTTTGGAAAAAAAATAGTTATCTAAACAACTACACATTCTAATAATAACAGTTTCAAAGCCTTAGAAAGCAGCCTTATGTGCAGGTTTTTTAAGATTTGAAATCAGGGTGATCGTGATTCCTTATGTTTCATCAAAGGGAGTTCTTTTAACACCGTTATGCACACACAACAAAAAGATAATAATTTCTATGAGAGACAGAAAAAAAAGGGCATTTAGTAGCAAACACTGAAGAACTCACCATCGTACCTGATCTGCTGATAATTTGTCCACAAAATTGTCACTTGGTGTGGCATTTTACTGAAATCCTGACTTCCTTCCAAATCATGGTGTCCATCAAATCTTTGATGAATAACTCTGGAAGCACTTTCCTAAAACTGATGCAAACTTTTTCTCTTTGAAAGAAGAGAAACCAACTTCCCTGTTCAATAAAAAGAATTAACCTCAGATCTTGTATAAGGATGCTAAACCGATATAAGGACTTGAACTACATTGGCATTATACTAGCAGAATGCTATATACACAGACCAAATGTCTTTCCCAAGGACTCTTCGCATATCATATGAATCTCATGAAGTAATCCTTCTTTATGACCAATCAATCTTATGCAGATTTACTCACTTACCTTTCCTTGAACACTTCAGCATTTCACATTTTTCCAAACAACAATACTAACTAGTTTGTGGTACTTGACATATCATTAGAAATGGAAGCAAAGCACTGAAAATATTCAAATATATCATTATACTAAAAAATCCATTCATTAGAAAAAACCTCAAATTTATCATAAAAGCCATAAAATTTCAAAAGCTACCATGTCCGTTAATAATTAGACAAAAAAGAACACATTTTTACTGTAAAAATAGATAATTGAACTAAAGCAACAACAATCACTCAACCCCAGCCTCAAAAGACTTATATTTAACCTCACTATCTTTTATCAAATCTTACGACGAACAAAAACAAAACAACAAATAACACTAACCCAATTGAGCTTTCTCAGTAGCATCCCAAATCAACTTCATTTTCCATTCCCATTACTAACACACAAAACCCAAAAAGAATATGCAAGAATTCATCCAAACTAACAGCAGTCAGATCAACACACACATTACAAGCAGTTTAAGTTAAAACAAAGCTTGAAGGTTCACGGAACTACTAAAGTACTAGCGTGAACGAAAAGCCGCAAAATTTATGGAGTGTAAAAGAATAACTAACCGCCCGTGGGCTTTGTCGGAGAAAGATCAGACGGTGGAGATGGGAGGGAGCTTGGCCGTGTAAAGAAGCATGAAAACGAACTAGCACCGCCATTGTTTTGTTGGAATAAACGTTAGATGTGTATGTTGGAAGCCAGGCGCTTGTTATCGTGGACAACTGCTGACAAACAAAATGACTTCGATTCTCATGAATAACGCCGTGGCCATTTTGTTTGTTAGACAAAACCAGTTAAATACATTTTGGTCTCCGTGGTCATTCTTATATACAGGTTCGGTAAAAATCTAATGTTTTTTAAATTATCAAATATTTATTCATATTTTTATTTTACATTTATTGTAGCAAATCAAATTATTAATTTATAAAATTAAAGATATATTTCTTTGTAACCAAGGTGTCCAGACAACTTATGCACATTTCCCATTTACACTAATCATTTCCAAGCACAATATCCACTGCCACGGTCTCCACTTAAATTAATTATTCTTTAGAGACTAGTGCAACAACTATTATCATGATCTCTCACTTAAATCGGATACTCAGATGGGGGATCGAATATGAGTTTATGTATCTATCCCACTATTCTTAATTCATCCTAACCATCTAGGTTACCCACATATGGATGATTAAATATTTTGCTTTTCTCAAATTCGATTTATAAGACAAATTATAATTACAGTTAGGCCAAGGCCTTTGAGCAAAGCAAAGATCATGGTTCTTTACTTCATAAGCAGCTTCAGGTGAAGAGACAATGTGAAAAATTTGGCCGAGCTGTGTGTACATGAGAGGACCATATTTCTTCGCCAAATCTCTTAGCCAGAGATCAGCAAAGAAACGACAAAATGATGTAATTTTCCCAACAACAAAGATAGATTGATAAACGATCTCATAAACTTTCTCTCACAAATCCGACATGACAGCTGATAATTGGTTTCTTTGGTGAATTCACCAAAACTAATTATCAGCTATCACGTCATGTTTGTAACAGAAAGTTTGTGACATTGTTTATCAGTGTAGTATTACCTTTTTCCAAATATTGTAGCATGATTCTTTTTTTATTTCCTAGTAATGTTTAAGTTAATTGATTTTTATTTACATTTATATTTACTAGTTACTAAAATTAGCATCATCTCACAACTGTCATGTTAATCGATATAAGATGGTTTGTGAGAGTGTTAGTTGATCTAGTATTACTACATTAGTGCCTTACGACATTCAAAATGGTAAGAAGGAACCTAACGACTAACTAGTACCACACTCTGTAATACAATAATGTTAGAGTACAAAAAAATCTTAAAAAATTTATATATAACTGATGTGGCAGAAATGAGTGGAAGAGTAAACAAAAAGTTAAAATCATCATATTCACTTTTTCAATTTTTTTTGTCACATCAATTTGTACACAGATCTTTGTAGATTTGTTGTATGTATAACATATTCATCATAATAAACTTTTGAAAACCCTAACATCCCCAACGAAATTAGTTAAACAAAACAAAAACACTTTCAAAAATCAAACACTAAGCTTCACTAGGTTCAAAAATGTCTATCTCGATTCTTTAATCTTGCAAAAAGAGAAACAAGACCCCATAATTGTTCGAGTTCCATACTTTTGGCAACTCAAGTTGCCCTATTACTCCCACCAGTCCTTTTCGTGATAATATTCTCTCTTTCTGAGACAAAGTGGTGAGCTTGAAGACTATAGTGTTAAAGGCATGCCCGTTTGGTGTACCTTCTTGTTTGCGAGTCTGCCAATGTTGTTATCCTTCTTTACACCATTGAAGACATTGTAGCGCACTCTCTTCACCTTTGTGTGATCACTGTAAACACACCGGTTAGCCCTCTGTGTTTTTGTTCTTGAATTTACATGTGGGTTCAACTTCTTTTCATTTGTTTGTTATTACTTTTAATATTTGGATTCTTTTCTAACTGGATTTTTTTTTTTTTGAGATTTTAGCTTAGTTTTTGTGTTTTAGTTGTGGGTTTTAGTGTTGGATGTAAATACTCTTAAATGCCCTACTGTTGTAATTTTTTATTAGACTGGCTAGGCTCCATTTTGTGTTCATTTGTTGTTGTTTTGGTTTGATTGAGAATTTGAAGTTTCATTGTGGTTAGGTTGGAGTAATCATATTGTGTCAAAACGGCAGTATCATGAGATTATACCGCATGATAATGACTGGAACAACAAGCATTTGAAGGACGATGATATACAAAATAAAATCATCTCTTGCATGGCTTAATTCATTGTAATGGGTTTGGCCATTAGCTGCATTAATGGATTAAGGAGTCCCCGACCTTGCCTTGACCCATCCCATCCCCGGTTCATGATTTGCAATTTGTATTTAATAATTGTGTAAAGTTTTATTTGAGTCCTTAGTGCAGTTAATTTAAAAGTATCTCATGTTCTTTATTTACATTTTAGCCCCCTAATTGTATATCATAATTTTATTATTGTTGTAATAATTATAAAGGCCTACATTTTGAAGAAATAATGTATTAAACTAAATATAAGATTTACAATAGTTTACCACCTTTAAGATCAAATTTGGAGATTTTCAGATACAGAGTATAGATCTCAATTCGGTGTTACGCATGCTACAACAAGTTTAGTTGCTCCATCTGAGCAATGAGCTTCCTGCCAAGTATGACATATTAGTTGCTCTGCCTGTGTGATGTTAGAGCTTTCCAGTTGACATATTTTTCCCTCCTCTGCCTGTGTGTGAGCTGCCCACCAGTATGACAGATATTCCCATGGGTACTAGTTTGTGGTGAGAACCTCAGTATCAATTATTAGTTTTATAGTTCACATTAGTTCTCACTTTACAATATAGAATAGTTATTAGTTTACGGTATCAAATCATTTATCAGTTATCAATTTTACTGTACCATAATAAACTAATAAAGTAAGTTTATAAGTACTTATTTTCATACTTCATGATTTTTTGAAAACTGTTTTACAAAATCATCCACACACTGAGTATTTTAACTCACCCTTTTAAAATTTCCCCCTCCCATTGACCCCAGGATTGTATAGAGCAATGACTTTCCATCGAGGTTGGGCCCATGCGACTCAGTCCATTTGTGTGTTATGTCACATATTTTGTCTTTCATACTTGAGGGTCTTTACCCATAGTTTCCATATTATTTTGTTCTAAGTATTTATGATTTTAAGATCATAATTTATGATATGCACCATTTTGTCTTTAGAAAAGGACGTGGTACAAGGAGATTTATGAAAGTTCAAAAGAGATTAGATTTTGATACTCATACATGACTCATCTTGGTCTCTTAAGTCTTATAGAATGAATGAATCCTATGAATAGAGAAGGCTAGGACGGTACCTGTCAATATATTCTCTTACTTGGATTGTTTTTAAAAATTATAGTATATAAGACTTTATTTATAAAATGATATAAAGTTAATTGTTTAATACTTGAACAAATATAAAACCATATTATTCATCATGTGCATAATAGTAATATCTATATGAATTATAGTTTTATAATTAAAAAAAGACAAAATGTTATGTCAAAGCCTATTCTTGTATTGGATTTGCTTTCGTGAAATTGATGTCTTTGAGTCATGATAATTGTTTTTTCCAACATTTCTTCCACGCCTTGGCCTTGCATTAAATAACTTTTGGGTAGGTATTTCTTGCTCCATTGGAAAATCAAGTATGGAATTGCATTAAGTTTCAGGAGTTAATGTTGAGTCAGTCTTCATGAAATAGAGTTTATGAGCCGTGACAATTGATTTTCAGATTTTAAGATTCGGAATTTTAATATGCACCATTTTGTTTTTAGAAGAAGATTTGGTACTAAGGAAATTTATGAAAGTTAAAAAGAGATTAGTTTTTCAATACTCATACACGACTCGTCTTGGTCTCTTAACTCTTATAGGAATGCCCAAATTTTAAGATAAAGAAGGCTGGCGGGTCCTGTCAATATATTCTTTTACTTGGAGCATTTTTATAAATTAAGGTATATAAGCTTATTTTATATAAATGATATAATAAATTTATTTGTTTAACACTTGAAAGAATATATAACCTATTATTCATCATGTGCATAAATATGAGTAATATCTATGAATTACGAGTTTTTAATAATTAAAAAAAGACAAAATGATTATGTCAAAGCCTATTCTTGTGCCGTGATAATTGGTTTTTCTAACATTCTTCCATAACTTGGCCCTACATTAAATAAT